CTAAGCCCAAGACGGCCTCCAACCACCACATCTCCCACCAGTCCTTCTCTGTTTGTAAACAGGAGGTCGAGCGAGGCACCTCCCCTGGTAGGCTCACCTACCAGCTGTGTCAGGAAGTTGTCTTCCACACACTCCAGGGATCTCCTAGACTGCTTCCTCTCTGCCATGTTGTATTTCCAGCAGACGTCTGGGAAGTTGAAGTCCCCCATGAGAACAAGGGCTAGCGACTGAGAGACTTCTGCCAACCGCTTGTAGAATGCTTCATCCACCCCTTCATCCTGGTTGGGTGGTCTATAACTCCAGCAGGATATCTGCCTTGTTGGCCTTCTCCCTCATCCTTACCCATAAACACTCGACTGTATCATCATCAAAATCGTTGAGCTCTAGACAATTGAAACACGCCCTAACGTACAGAGCCACCCCACCACCTCTCCTTCCTTGCCTGTCCCTTCAGGGCAGATAAAGATAAAACACAGAAAGCTCCCTTGTTATCTTTAAAACACTGCTGTCCATAAACAGTCTATGTCACTTTGATTCGTAATGTGTATGGCTCATTTCAGTCATTTGTTAGGTGCCTTTTTTCAATGAGGTCTGATTTGAACAAACCTTGGATACCAGTTCGTATTGCAATATACGGGGAGCTACAGATAACTTACTTGTACTTGTTGAACAGTTGACTGTTGGGATTGTTCTCTGTGCTATACCAATAACAACTATTCACTTGATCCTTGTATCTGACTTTTCCCAGAGTTACCTTGAGTGTTACATGAAATCAGTGGCAGGTGCTTTAATATTCCTGTGAATACTACTGTTAAGAAATAACATTAAACACCACCAGATTCTCATCCCACAAGTCACCTAAATTTGAATATGATTTATCATTATCAGGTGATTCCTGTGGGGGATTCCTGTGGAATCATTTCCTAACTTTGTTTTTGTGATTGATTCCTTTCTTCCTCCACTTTAGAAGTTTAAAAAGTCAAAGTAGAAAGCTACATATAGGCTGAACTTCCTTCCCCCCACATACTCTGAAATGTGCCAAATATATGTGTGGTCTCTGTAGAAAGGGTATTAATAAAGGCTATACACAGTAGCCATAATTGCTTAGGGGCTTTCTATAAAAATGTTTGACTGTTTATCTTATGCTTCTGAAGCTGCTGATATTCCTGTCAACCCTATCCAGACTGATCCCTAAACCTAACCAAGCTCACTGCCGTAATAAAGCTCTTTATCTCTAACAGCACACTCCATATAGAATAAATAACATGAAGAAGAAATGCTTACATTACAGTAGACTGGTATGCAGAGTCCATTGAGGCATCAAGTTATTGTTAAGTCAGTCCAGCTCTCCCCTCTGTACTGAAAAATAAGAGGGAAAAAGCACTGATAAGTGGTTGATCTGCATCAGAAAACAGTGTTATGGATTCAGAGGAAAATAATCTGATGAGTTAGAAATCCATTTATTTAGCAGTAGTAAAGGTAGAGGAAGTTCCTGGGAAGAATTTGTTGTTATCATCGTTATCTGTTGATACTTATCAATTTCATATTGTTAGAGATTCAATCTATTTTGAATCCTTTTGGAAATTTTAAATAACACTACAAAAAACCCACAAAACAATAGCAAAGCACACACGCAAAAAAACACAACCAAAAACCCAGCAACAACTAACAGCCAAACTTTCTGTAACATGTATTTGTAAAACCTTTTTGGCCTTTTGAATTACCAGCATCCTGAATTTTTTTAAAAAAACTCTATTTTATCTTATATGTGTTTTAGAAAAAAAAATACTTTACATTTTCACTGGTGTATTTCTTACTTCTTAAAGAAAAAGATGAGGACCTAAATTACTGGCACATATGGGTATACATTCTTCATTTCTTTTTGTTTGTTTTTATGGCTTTAGGTACCTGAAGAAGACTGATCTTGTTAATTACTTGCAATGCTTTTTTTTCCTGAAAGTTAGGGTGCTCAAATGCCTTTGTATAGGCATGTATTATAGTGTATATAGTATATATACATATATAAAATATATATATAATTATATATTATATATTATAGGCATGATTATCAATGAACTGAGGAAGGAGGAAACCAGAAGAGGAATGGAAAGAACTGTTGCTAGAGCTCTACTCCTCAGCCTGGAGTTTTTGTTTTGTGTTTTTTTTTAACTGTATGTGGGATGGGAATGAATCTACTTAAATGTGTTTGAGTTAAAAAAGAATTGATAAAGTTTTTCTTCTTTCTTTCTCTTCATTTTTTTTGGTGTAAAGTAAGAGTGCAAGAAGTAAGATTTATTTGGAAGAAATTTAAAAACTGTGTTACTCAATGAGAGAAAAATTTCTGTATGGAAAGAGTAGGCCAAAAGAGAAAAACTAAATGAAAAATTTTTGTCCTGACATTATGAAATATTGGGAGAGCCACTAGAGGGAAATACTGTCATTTTCATATTTCAGGGCTTTCATTTCACTTTGATGAAAATTGAATAACATCCAATTTTCCAATATTGTAAAGCATTTCACACATCTTTGTCATTTTCAAGCGACAAGTAATTTCAAAAGTCAACAAGTTTAAAGCTGATATTTGACAGAGAGGATAGTTCTGTAAAAATTGAAGAGTGGTCCAATGACTACAGTGGTATCCTGGGATTTAGAGTTCATAGCTTTGCCAAAGACTGTCTGTCTGATCTTAGACAAGACATTTGGTCTTTATGCTGCATTTCTTCATCTGTTAAATAGGGAAGTGTAACATTTGCCAGTCTCAGAGGAAATTGCAAGGATAAATATATCAATTGTCAAGAAGTAAGTTCAGGAAAAAAAGTTTTCATTTAGGCATACAAAATTGCTGATTTGAAATATCATTGAGGTTCAACAGTTGAAACAATTGGTCCTAGATGCTTAATGCTATGTCTTATGTGGTTTTAAATCATTGGAACTGCAAATAGCTACAAATAGCTATGAAAAATCTTCAGACCTCATAAAATACTAACACAGAATTTTCCAGTTATTGAATTTCCACTACAAACTATACAGAGATTGAAAACATTTACAGAATATTATTACATATACTCAAAATCTCCAAGTGGGATTGAATAATGTGTTAAAATATCAGTACCTCTTAATAGAGAAATCATATAAAATGAAGGAAAGTCCTGCTAGATAAAGTAAAATAAAACTTGCTTTAAGAGTTTGTTGTTGTTTGGTTTTTGTGCACTTGTCAAACATGAACAGTTTCTACAAGTAATTAGATCCCACAATTTTTGATAAATTTTAAAATAGCCATCAAATTGTGCACCATGAATTCTAGTCATATGTTAGGCCATGGATTATAAAGGCCTGGTGGTGTTTTGTAGAAGCAAGGTGATGAAGCATGGCTTTCAGTAAATACCCCAAATAGCAATGTTCTGGAAGATTATGTAGAAGAACTGTACACTTTGTAATCGGAGAATTATATGTCAGGAAAAAAAAAAAACAGAAAGATCTACCTAGGATGAAAATGTTCAGCAGCCCTGCCTGTTTCTCAGGCTGTGTGTTTGTCCTCTATATAGCCCACGCTGTTTCTATTTAGAGGTAGAGGCACTCTTATTTTTGCTTCTATATCCATGTCTGTGCTCTCTTTTTGCCAGTTAATGTTAAAAAACAGCTGTGTGAACTGTACTGTATGGAAGTTAATCTTGGAAGCTTTTGGCACAGAGTAGTTAAGCACTTCAGTTTCATGTCATTCTTTGTGGAATTATGTGAGCTCTAAATGTATAATACTGAGGTGGGGGAATTCAGTCTTACATAATGATGAAACATATTTATGGTCATAAAAGTATTCCAGAGTAGTTTCTTCGTATTTCATCCATTTTTCATATACATCCATTTTTGAGCTCCTTAGTTCACCTCCAACTCGAAAGGTTTTCTGCTGCCAGCGTGAAGGCATGCACATCACCGGCTCAAAAGCACGCTGGATTCAGTTCTGCCCTGTGCATCACTGGTAGCTTTGCCAGGCAAATGTTATTATTCACTCTGCACGCTTTCTTGTTCTGGATGAATAAAACCTACCGAATGCTTTTTCACATTGTAGCATGGCTGGTAACCACTAAGTTGTATTCTAAAAAGCCAAGGTAATCTTTAATGTTTGCCTAAAAGAAAAAGGTGGCATGATATATTACATGATACTTTTTGCTTGATACTGTAAAAACAAATAAATAAGTATTGAAAATTGGACTTTAATATCTTTTTTCCCATGGCATTGATGTTAAGAATTAAAAATATATTAAAGATTTCATTTCAAGTATGAAAATGACTATCCAGTGATGTTAAATTACAAAAATTCATGACCAAAAAATGCATTTCAAGATGCTAGAAGAGAAGGTTTGCAACAGGTCATGACCAATTTAGCGAGAAATACATATAGGCCCAAGAGTATTGCAACAAGGGTCTACTTTGCCTGTTATTGTAAAAGGACAAGAATACATGAAGCATATTGCATTGAAATTTGCTTCAGCCTGATTAGGATACTTAATGTGATGTAGGTCTCCAGCCAGTGCTGACAAGAAGTAATACTGTGATTTTCCCCTACTACCTCTTTTCCCTCTCGAAGCTTGTAATACCACTCACATGATATTGTCTGCAAATGTGCCTTCAGCTTTGGCTTGAACACAAGGCCCAGGAACAGCTTAGTTGTAGTTCTGCAAGTTCTTTCTGCATGAAATAAAAATATGTGCATTAAACTAATTTTAAGACCAAGTCTTGTTTCTCCACCTGTGAACTGGAAAATGCCTATTGCATGTGAGCCAGTACGTATGGACCAACTTCCTACTGCATAGAACAGACACAATAAATATGTACTGTGCTCAAATGCAGAGATAGGTTAAAACTTGTATTGTCATTGCTGTTGTCATAGTTCAGCCCAAAGGTTGAGTTCATATAGGGAATCTGACAAGGCACAGGAGTCCCTACTGCCTACTTTTTGTTCTCATTAACACACTGATACATCATTATTACATTGATAAGCAGTGCAGGTATGATCATAGAGTGGTGACACTGTGAACTTTTCTAGCAGTGTGTGCATTAGTCCATTTTCACATGCCTGTTTCCCTTCTGCCTCTGGAAAAGATAGTTTGCTCTGTGGTTCATTGACTTCTTTGCTGCGGTAAGCCTGCTAATGAGCTGAATCAAAGCTCCCAGATAACTTCACGTGTTACCAAAAACAGATGCTAAGTATCTGTGGCAGAGATAAAGCAATTATACAAATGTGAGTGGTGTCTTGTCTTCTAAGCTGCTCGTGTCCTCTGAACATCCAGTTTCAAGCATTCATTTACACAATATACGTGCTACTTGTAAAACAGAAGCAGAGCATACTTAGAAGTGGAAGTTGCAGTAAAGATTTTTTGAGAGACATTATCATCTTAACAATCCTTATTGCTCTCTCCACTCTCTGATAATGTAAGCTTTTCATTTTGCCATCATGTTGGAGAAAGAAAACAAACCAGACCTGACATATTTTCATTGTTTCTGACATAGTTCATTTCAAGATGTCTATCTGGATTCTCAGTATGCTCCTTTGCCTGTTTTAGCATCTCCTTCTGCTCTCTGTCCTATGGATTGTGAATGCCATTTATGTGCACAATACAGCAGTCTTTCATATTTTGTAACTGTCTGTACCTTCATGATGTGACTTTAAAAGAACTGTGAAGTACTCCTTATTGTTATTTGTTCTGTATTTGAGTTATCATATCTGTGTTTAATCAAGCCACTTAATCTTGTACTTGTCCATTCCTATTCTACCATGGCACTTTCCATTACTTTTATCTAGCTTAGCTGTCTAAAAATCTTTTCCTCTTTAACTTTGTCTCTTATGGAAAAAGGAACCTTTCTGAGCTAAATACTGATCACATCTAGAATCAGTGGGAAAACTTTGATGAGTTCCATGGTTTTTGTTATTTGTAGTTCCAGCTTTTTGCTTATTTGCTCCAGGTTCTTTCTCATATGCTTATTTGTAATAATTAAATTTGTTTATTTTAGTTCCCCTTCACTGAATGCCACATTCACGCATCTTTTGGTCACTTATGCATTTCAAATGATGCTTCAGCTGTCCTGCTTACTGGGTAGGAATAGGTGAAAACATGCTATTTACAAAAAGCCACATGCCACCTAAGTTCAGGAAGAAGCCCCTCTTCTCCACATATTATCCCTGTAATTGGCACTAAGAAGAAGTGGAATAGGTACTGAAAAGACCAAAATGTTTTTTTTTCCCTGTCCATAAGTCTATCGTTGTTGGCTTTTGTCTTTGTCTGTGTCTATATTCAGGCTGTGTGCCTTTGAATATTTTACTCTTTTACGCTGATAAACTGCTTCATATGATAGTGACAAGTGTGCTGTTCTATTTCATTGCAGTTTAACACCATGTGTTGACACTAACTGACCAAAAGCAGTACTTTTGCCCTTTAATTTCTGTATTCACTGTTTCTTGTCCATCTTTTTCACTCTTCTCTGCCTTTTTTTTTCTTAGCAATAAGACCCACTTTCACATATATCCAATATCTTACAAAACAAAGTGTTTCTTTAACTTACATGTATTCCATCCTTTTGTCACACATGGCTCTAATTTCAGGGCTCTATTTCCATTTGACTCAAGCCTTTTGTTTATTTTCCCTGATTGTATCCATTCATTGTACGTTTTATGTTTCTGCCTTTGAATTTTCATCTAGGAAATTCCCACACCCTTTTTATTTATAATTTTTTCTTCTTTATTTTTTCATCTTAAAGTTGTGACATGACCTTCTTCCCCATCTCAGTTCCTGTGATCTGGGTATTGAATTTTTTTCTACTTTGTTTTTCAGCTTTTGTCACTTAATTTTGCACCAGTCAAATATTCAGGCTAGTTAACTTGATCAAGCTAGCTAACTAATTCAAGCTAATTAACTAATTTTGATTCAAACTGTATCCCCACCTTCTTTTACTTTAGAGACTGTATACGCCATTATAGAGCTTGAATTCTTTGCCCTTGGATTCTTAGATTTACAAGGCAGAAAATAAAGTGAATTTGTCTATCATTTCCCACTGCCATTAATTTGGCATTGGAGAATTATCTAAAGAGCAAATAAGGTACATTAGGTTTTTATAACATAAATAACAACAAATTACCTGTAATGAAAAGACAAGAAATAAACTATATTGCTGGCATGCTCCCAGTTGGACTGGTGTAATTTACTGTCTTCTCAAAAATAAGTGTGTCCATTTCCCGAAGAGGTGTAAGTAAGGATAGATTCCCTGTTGCCAGAAATCAACCTAGCTTGACTGATGGAGTGACGGACCATGTTTTCTGTCAAGCTGACTCCTTACTAAGGATGAGCTCAGAAGACCTCATTTGTATCCAGTCTCAGCCCCAACCTCAAATTTACTGTTTAAACCTGAGAAGAAACAATAACATGTAGTTTTCTGCCTTTGAAAAGGAGATAGCACTGCTCTTCAGGACAAATACATTTTAATGGCAGGCTCTGCTTCTATTTGAGGGGCTCAGATACTAGACAAACTGAACATCCATTGAACATCTATTTAGAAAGAAAATAAGAAAAAAATTCAGTATTTGACCTCATTAGTTATGTGATCTTATGCTGGTATTTGATTTTATTCCTTGGCTGATTTTCTTTCCCTTCCCAATTGTTTCATTGTAAGCTCAATTCACATTAACATAAATGAGAGTAGGGTCTCACTTTTTGAATTATTTTCCACCTGCTTTTCAAAGTTGCAGAAGGCTATCTTAATGTCTGCCAAACAATGAAAATCCCTATAAGTTTAAAGGTTTCTGTAGGGTAAAACAAATGGCATAATATTGGTTTAGAATAATAATCAAAATTCATCTATAAAGATTAGATAATTCAACATTTTAAAAACATCATCATTAATTTTTTGGTGTGTTGAACACATTACACTCTAAATAAATGTTCAGGAAACCAAAGTATCTCTGTGAGAAGGAAAACTATCAACAGAGGCAATCAAACCTTAATTTTATAATTTTATTTTAACATATAAAGGAAAGAGACAGCATTCAAAGTAGATTACATAAAATGGAGTTATACACAACGTATTTCCGAACTCCTAATTTTCTGTTTCAGTCTCTTTGTCTGACAGTTTCACCAGTCTCTGTATTAATTAAAATTCCATAAATGATGTCAGACAAACCTCAGATTCTACTGTTTATATCAACCATAATTTGCTCCAGATTTTGTTTTGTTTTTATGCCAAAGACCACACAAAAGCTTTCTGAGTTTTCTTTTTTCCCAAAGCTTCTGTTGCTCAGTAAGTTTTAGATTTTAAAAATTCCTTTTAAGAGTTGATATCATTTCCCACTGAATAACTTCTTACCATGATAACAGTTGTTTTCTTCTTCTTGTGGGTAAGATACTTAACCAAAGTATCACACTTCAGAGATTATGTGCACACTGTCTCTTTTTCCAGTCTTTGTTCCAGCTACTCTTTAAAAAGGGCATCTCTCAGCATTTCTCCACCATTTCTCATTTGTATAATCACAATAATCATAGTTCATCAAATATGACTTCTCACTGCTATTTGATATCCTTTATGTTCTAGTAATTATGTAGAGAGAATCATGTCAAATTGCAATTGAAAAAAATGCTAGTATCTATTCTGTTTAATGAAAATTGTCCAGGGCAGGTGGGGAGGGATGTGGAAAGTAGCAGAAGTGATCTTTTCGGTCATATTGTTAGAGGCTGAGGAATGGCATAAAACAATTAAAAATGTACAGGCAAAAGCTGAGATTCCCAAAGTTATAAAGTTTATGAAACTAATGAAGAACAATTTTTAAATACAATCATGAGAAAAATATTCAGTTTTTAATCGGAATAAATTCCCAAATATTTCTGTGTATTTTAAAATGAGGGCATCAAGGCTTAGAGGAAAAAAAAATTATTTAGGTAGAAGAGAATGGAACGCACGTATAGACTGTAGTCTCTATAAGTAGACTGTAAGTAGGTTATAAGAAGATGACTCTAAGTATAGTGACTACTTCTGCGTTGTGTACTTATAAGCTCTTATGTTTGAGAGAAAAACAAGTGGACCTTAATATTAAGAAAGCTATGAGACAATCTGATGGAGTGCAGAAGAATCATTTTCTTTGTTAGACAATAGCTTTTTTCCCATTAGAGTTAATTGGAGAAGTCTTTGCTTAAATATGATCAGAAATCTCATAAAAGCAGACAGTTGTTGTTTTTATTGCAAGATGAAAACCTAAATTCTAAACCAAGTCAGATTTTAAAACAGTTGAAATCAAGCAGATTATAATAATTGAAATTACTAGAATTTGGATACCCAGGGATTTTTTTCTCCATTAAGTGGTGAAGTTAGAAGAGTCTGCTTCAAATTTGGGATTTTAGCTTCCCCCAGTCATAGCTACAAAACCAAAAGCTGAGCCAGGGCCATTATTCTCTGAGAATCACAACTTGTTTGAACATCAGACATGTTTTGAAGAAAATATTTATCTGAAAAAATTCTTGAATACTTGACTACATCCACCTGGTAATATTGGTTGGGAGTAGTATTTTTCAGAGGCCATAAATAATGTTCATACCTACAACCAGGAAAGGACCTATTATAACACAGAGCAAAGGGACTAAAAAGACAAATTAAATCAAATCTTATCCAAGCTAGTTCAACCAATTTCATATCTGACTACTGCCTGAAGCTCATGATTTAGGATAATCTAAAAATCAAGTTTTAATCTAAAACAGAACAATGCTATCTGTATTGTTATAGCTTTCAGTACCTTTGTGCAAGCTAAACTCATTGCCTGGCTTTATCGAGCACTTCCAGACAAATTTTATTTAAGATACGAGGGAAGGTCAACCTCAAAAAGTTTTGAGTTTTACATAATGTATAGCAGAATTTTAATTTCACTATTGTTCTGGCATGTTGAAGGCAAATTTTCATGGAAACCATAATTCCATCCACAGGACCAGTCTTTCTCATAGCAGATGTAGCCCTTAAATTGTAGCTAAATTACCCACTACAAATAATAATAAAACGCGTCAACACAAAAGACTGCTGAAACCAGAAACTCCTGCATAACTTTGTCATCAGTCCCTTAAATGGTGGAGGAGTCCTGTCCCTGGAATGGGATCAGCTCTACTGTGCTTAGGAGCATTTGTCATGGGCAGAGGATATTTACTGCAAAGTCTTTAGAGGGCAGAGAAGCAAATCAGTCTCCCAAACACCATCCTCTATCTCTGGAAAAAGCATCTAAACATCCTGTTTCCAAACTAAGTGGAGGCTTTCAATCCATTAGGAGATTCCCCTCTCACCCTTCCTCTCCTAAATATACTGTGCCAGTTGTCCTTGGTTTTTCACTGTTCAGTGGGCTAAAAGATGAAAGATCTATTTGTCAAATCAAATGAGCACCTTCAAATCATTAACACTGTAAGATATAAAAACAAATGTAAGTTTGTTTTCCTCCCTTCCCCCATGTTACTTCTTCCCCCTTTTTTGTGCCTGCTTTTCATTCTGAGAGGTATATAGTACTCAGAATATTATAATCCGTTCTGGCAACAGAACAGAAACATGGTTTCCATTACAGTTTATTACTTTTTTCCTTTTTATTTTTTTTAATCCATCCATATGAATCCCAAAGGACTCAAGCCTTTGGTAGAAACCGTAGACAAGATATATCATGGGTCTAGTTCTCCCTTATTTCTATATGACTTAGACTGTTTATTTGGTTCCCATGTGCATAGTTAAAATTAAAATATAAGTACAATATGTATCCATTTAGTATTCTGAAAATGAATTCTTTTTGTTCTGTTGATGTCTATTAAAAAACTACCCTATTTAGGTTCCTGTATACAGCATGTTTGGAAGTGTTCTAAGATTTAAAAAAAAAAGAAAATCCTCTCCTTTTCATTAAGAAATTCATTTTTATACAAAAAATGTAATGTTTTAAAGCTAGTCTTTTCAGCTACTCTGTACAGGCATCTTTAGGGTGGTTTCTACTCCCCTATAGCACAGGCCAGTCAGTAAGGTCCCATCTGTAATCAATAGAGGCATGCAACCTATTGCATCTTATGATGTAATTTCACAATCAGTTCACAGCAGCAGCATCTGGCACTGATGCCAAGAGAAGTGTTTCTATCACTCCCCTTTCACCTCCCTGCCATCTTCCCCCTCCTGGGGAAGCTTTGTACAGCTGCACAGTGAACCAGGTCAGAGAAATTATCTTGCTTAAAACTAACATGCCAAAAAAACAACTGTTTCGTTTTAGCTGGAAGGTAAATGCTTGTGCTGATACAAGGGAGAAACAGAGCTGCAGAAGAATGATGGGGCTACTTCTTTCTGCAGTCCTGCCAGCTTAATCTGGTTTAAACTGATTGTGAAACTACAGCATAGCATACCTAGCTTTGAACATGGGTAATTGCCTTTGAACATGCTCATTTTTATCCCCCATCAAAGGTGCTTGAATGACTACTTTAGCCTTTTAAGAGTTAGGCAGCTTGTCTGAAGTTCAATGAAATTAGTTCCCTTACAGTGATTTACACAAAGACAGTAAGAGTTGGCACTCAATTCTTTTTGTGGTGTGTCCTGGTTTTGGCTGGGATAGAGTTAATGTTCTTCCTCATAGCTGGTACAGTGCTGTGTTTTGGATTTAGTATGAGAATAGTGTTGATAACACACCATTATTATTATTATTATTATTATTATTATTTTATGAAACTGTTTTTATCTCAACCCACGAGTTTTTCTCGCTTCTACTCTTCCAATTCTCTCCCCCATCCCACTGGGGGGGCGGGGGAGAGGAGGGAGCGAATGGCTGTGTGGTACTCGGTTGCTGACTGAAGTTAAACCACGACAGCACCTTTCAGTAAGGGAGTGGGGAGGGGGATAAATACTCACTTCTCATCAAGAAAAGCTGCACTGAGACAAGAGTCGTAATGTGAAAGAAGCTAACATCTCTGTTTGGTGGGGGTTTTGTGTTTACTCCATGTGGATATGCACTGGTTTAGACTGCAACCTATAACGAGTTGCTTTGACGTTGCTAGTATGTAATTCAGGGGCTAAAGAGAGAATCTTCATGGTGCTCAGTTGCCGACTGAGGTTGAACCACAACATGGTGTCAATGACTGTGTTATGAGACTGAATGAGAAGATCTCATTTTAATCAACTCATCTGCATAACCTATATTACCATATTTACCTTTATTTCTGCATTTGCTTTAAGACAAAAACAGAGAAGGTGGTTCAGTCGTACATACTTAGCTGCATATTGTTGACTGCCTTCAACTGTAGATTTCACTATAATATTATCTAATTCTAATCTTTGAAAGATGAACAATTTTCCTAAAATATCATTTACATATCTCCCTCATGACAATGGTTTGACCAGTTAACATCTGGTACTTCTAGTAAGGTGTTGAACAGTGTAACTCTCAGATGTCTTTCACTTTCCTAGGAAAGAAAAAGAGTAGTTAATCAACAGTTCAGAGATTTAAAGAATCGAAAGTAGTTGGTTCTGTTAAAGGTCATTAAAAAGTTAAACTAGACCTAAATGAAAACAACAGGCATTGTGAAAGTCCTCAGCTTAGCACGCTCATATCAATTCTCACCTTAATAAGGGTAAGACAGGATCAATAGCTAAATAATGACATAAGTCAACAGAATGGCATTTGCAAAGTGTTTTATGAACCCAGTATGAAAGACAATGTGTGTGGATGAAGTATTCTGTATTTCTTGAAGTCGGGAAAGGAAATGAGGGTCGTCTTAAATCATTTGACATGAAGCATAGGTCACGATGCAGCAAATCTTGGTTTTGAATTCTTTATTGAACAAAGAAGTTAGGAAAAGTAATATGAAAGTAAGTGCTTAAAAGGAGATTTTAGGCCCACATTAATGCAGTGAGCCTGGGAGGCTAAGCAAAGTAGCCTACTAGTCTACTGTGACTAAGGGCTAATAATGCAATGTACCTCATTTATATTTAGGCATTTAACACATCTTCAGCAGCCAGCAGTGAAAGTACCATGAATTCACACTGTCTCATGCAAAGTGATTCCAAAGGTTTTTTCGAATGCTACAGATGCCTATTTTCCTGATTTCTTGTAGGAATCTAGTCATTTGACTCAAGTTAAACAGTACAGTTAAACACTGAATATTTGTCAGGATTCTTCTGGGTCTTGGGGCCATGAAACCATACTCTCAAAGCAAAACTTCTACTATTTAAAAAAGAAAATTGTTCAGTGAGAAGTCTAAAAAATTGAACTTCTCATCCCAATATTGGAATTTATAATTTTGTTTATTCCCAGAATATATTGCACTGTGTTGGAATATACCCCTACTTTTTACCTCATGTTCTTTATCTTTCACTGTTTATAACTACTATCTGCCAGATAAACAATATAAAATAGGGTCAGAATATTGTAAATTTCGATTTGGATTGAGGGGGAAAGAGGAAAAGGGAGAGCAGGCACTGATTTTATGGTAAGTATATGTGAAAAGTATATGAAAATGTAATTTACACCAATTCTGATCTCCTATCTACATGGCTGAAGAGTTGAATTAATAAAAATATCTATTGCAGAGACATTCTCCTTCACCTCCTCTTTCCCCCAAATATAGCAGTCATATCTTGGAACGAGTGGCCAAACCTATCTGAAGAGATTAGGCAAGCAAACACTGTCATACCACATGGATTGCTGTAGGTTTAGAATGTAACAAATGTCACCCAGTTTGGGATTAATTCTCAAGAAATGCACAATTATAGAACAATAAATCATGCTAAGTATTATTAGTACAGTAAGATTCATGCCAGCCTTTGCCTCTCTGCAGTACTGCATTGTCAAATGCAAACTGTTTAATATTACAATTATTAGAGAAGGAATGGTTTTGGTAGGAGAATGATTACAAGCAGTTAAGTGTCTAATAGAGAAGCTCCTACAAAGCTGCAGTTTGCTTTAAAATGTGCACACTGTGTTGATTTCTGAAGTGTTTTCCAGGGAGCATCACAGCAGAAGTTCATTGCTGTTGTTCAAACTTTGGAAGTGCATTTGATCGGAGTAGCTGTGGTATAACAGAAATACATGTTTTCGCTCTTTTGGTCTCTCTTTCCCATAGCGAGCCTATGGCTCTTCACGTGTGTTCCTGGTGGACAGATTCCATGACAAAGCAAAGGTGTGTGGTGCTCTGATTCCCACCTTCAGTACAGCCTAGCACTGAAACCTGGCGTCTACATGAGGGACTATAGAATAGCATATTGACTTCTATGCCAAAAAAGTCAGGAAAACTATATGTGCTGATGAATCCTAAACAGCAAGAGGTGTTTCTTTTCTTTTATTAAGCTAGCGCTCTGGCTCATAAGAGAGGGCTCAGACTTGAGGTTTGTGAGGTTTTTCATTGTTGTCTTGAAAGTCATCTAGCCATAATGACAATCAACTGACTTTCACATACTCAGTATTATTTACTCTGCACAGTGCCCAAAAGAAACAGTCCAAGAGAAATAGTCCCTGAGGTGTCTCAGGCTAATATTACACTAATAAATAAAATAGTCCAGAGCCCATTCTCTGCATCTGTGGGCAAAGGACTCAGTTCATGCTCGGGCAGGTAATGCTGTTCCCCTTCCTTGTTTTTTTTTTCCCAGCTGGTGTAGTCTCACCCAAACTGGGTGCCAGGAGCAAGCTGTGGCCCTGTTCTCCCTTGAGCCATTCCCAGATATCATCAGCTGAAGATGAAATGGAGACCTGGGGCTTGGGCAGAGGGTGCATGGGGATCTTGGGGGACTCACCAGAGCAGTAAGGCCCTATGGGTGCCATCAAGACCCTGACAGCACTAAGGAGGAAGAGGAGGGTCTCTTGTCTGTCTTCCAGTCTACATTGCCTATGAATATCTGTTGTAAGGTTTTGATCAGTCTTTGCTTAGAGATGCTTGAGGTGGTGAGGTTTTCCATGATGATTTGCTGTGTAATAAAAAGAGAAAAATCAGGTCCTGAAATTCCTAGTGCATTACAAAGGAGGGCACTTCCAGTGGCTCATTAGTTGGTTTTGATCTTTGGGCTGGAGGCTAGGTCAAATGAGCTCTAAAATAAATAAAAATGTAAAAAGATCTTACTTCCCCGCTTTTTCTTGCTTTAAGGAGCTTGTCTTTTTTCTTCATTAAGGTGTTCCATTTTCTACAGAAGAAAGCCTGTTGATAAGAAGATCTGTTACTTATTAGCCCCAAATTCAGAGTTTTTTGTATGTTTTTTCTTTGCTAGTTTTTTCAGAAGGGTAAACTTCCAATTAACATGTTTCATTATCAAGTGACATCAAAATGAAAACTCATAGTAGTGTGTTGTTTGATAATCCTTTTTTTGCTATAGCAGACTTTATTTTTCATTTCTTTTCTTGCATAAGTTGAAGCCAAAATTTTGTTATTTAAAAACTTATAAAAATTTAATTCCAGTGCACTCACTCCAGAGCCTTTTAAACAGAAGGTGATTTTGGAGAAATAATTATTAACTATTTAGTGAAAAAAATGGGAAAAAATGTCCAATAGCTGAAGTTACTATGTCAACACTTAAAATTATAAACACTCCTTTTCAGAAACAGAAAGACTTACTGTTTTAAAACTGATTTAAAAATTTTGTTCTACTTTAAAACTGTATTTCAATTTAAACAGTATTCTGAAAAACAAGTGTATTAACAACAGTATTTTGTTAGTTTATAGGAAATAGTTTGTGATTTTCAAAATGAAATTCCCATTTTGATTCACGGAAAAGGCAAACCAGAAAATGACTTTTTCATCATTGTCCAGTAGATACTTTTTGCAGTTTCCTCCTTTTTTTTTGTTCTTCTTTTTAGTGTTCTTTATCCACAATTAGAAATAATGCTATTGTCATTGAGGTTAGAAAAAACTAATTTCCTAGCCATATACTTATGGCTATTTGTCAAAGAAAACTATTATTTTGAAAACACAAAATTTTGGGTTTTTTTCAAAAGCTGTTTAATAAAGCCTTTTAACAAAGAAAACTGTAGGTTTTTTAGCAGACAGAATTCACATATTAGAACTAAATTTGATTAATGTAGTCTGTTGCAAAAGTTATAAACAGTGATAACTTTAAGTTCAATAAGTGCAGCTTCTATCATTCCACTAAGATGTAGATTTATTTATAACTTGTGTAATAGTAATTATAACATGTAATCAGCTGGTAACATATATGGTTGCTCTAATTATACTAAATGTGGAATATGATATAGAAAAGGAGATTCATGCTTCTGCATATTTATTAAATTGATTTTTAGATGTATGCCTAATTAGTTATTTTTTTGGACAGACTAATACTTGCACTGTGGTAGGAAAGAAATTTTGCAGAGGTAGGTTTCTGCACAGGTTACTTCACTCAAAGGTGAAATTTTATTTTAGAGCTGATTGGGAAGTATATTTCATATTTTTTAATGCTATCTGTGTCCTTTCATATTGAATTACACAACGAAATCATCAAAGATATAAACAAAAATATTAAAGAAAAATTAAGCTGTCAAATTACTTGGTCAATAAATTTAAATAACCTGATAATTCTGAAATGTTTGTTTAATCTTTACAGTCTATTTTAAAATTACCATTAATATGTTAAGAATTTCAAAGCGGCGCTGCTTTGAATTGAAGATTAAAATTTCTAATTTCTCTACTCCACTTGCTTCTTTTTACCATGTTCATTCAAAGATTTTTCAAAATCTAAATAGTCTTTTGAATGGAACAAACCAGCATTTTTCTCTGTGGAAGAAGAAGTAGAAATAATATTCCCAGATAGTTCAACTTTATATTAATATGCACAGAAGATATATCAGAACTTCAGTGAGCTGATATGTATTCTTCTTATACATTTCTCAATACCAATAATTTTATGTTTCAAAAAAAACCTTGCTTTAGTGAAAATGTATGAATTTTTTTCCTCTTATGTTTGTTTTTTGTTTTGAGAAAACCTAGTCTTTGTTGAAAAATCATCTTCTAACTTTCATTACTGACAATAAATAGTTCTATTTGGGGTTTCAAATTATTTGGTGTTTTCACAATCCCTCTTAGCTTCCAGACAGTATATAATATATAATTTCATTTTTAAAAAAATAATACGGAGTTTCTAATCACACATATAGTGAGAAAAGCTGAGACCCTGAAAATAGTCTTGTTCCAAAATCACAATATTTGTGTGTGTGTATATATTAAATTAAAATATAAATACAAAATATGCAATGACATATAGTTAAAATGTTAACGCAACATTTCTAATATAAAATATGTATTTAAAAGTTAAAATAATTGTGCATGTGTAAAGATGCACAAACTTGCTAAACCTTCCTGCAGAGGGACTGCAGACATATATTGACGTATCAGAACACTGCAATGTCATGTCAGAGAAAAAAAATTCACCTAATCAGGAAAAAAAAAAGAATTAAAGAAAGATGAGAAAATCCAGAGACATTGTCTAAGATGCTGAAATACAAAGCAAAAATGTTTTTGAATAGTAAAGCAGTATTGCATACTACCAATAAATTTTCCTCACATTTCATACACAAATTTTATCTTTCTAGTGTCACTTAAAAAAAAAGAAATAATCAAGTCTAGCTTCTTTCTACTTTTCATATCCTTTCATAGGATACAGGTCATTTGCCAGGAGTAGAACATTAGTTTAATGAATCACAAGTAGCCTCAGCAATATGTAACTTTAAAATTATTTCTGAACTAGAATAAATAAAGAACAGAAAGACACACACACTGATTTTGTGTTTTCAAAATGTATCTTAAATCAAGCCTGGAAATGAGGTGAGAAGACTGTTGAATGATACACTGATTAGGATGATATCATGGATACTGGCCATGGAAAAAGCACATGTAACTGTGCTGACTTCATTTTCTCTTGGCACATAGTAATAACTGTCAACCTGCAGAACATCTGATAACAATGCGATAGGGGGAAACAATAGCTGAGCATACAGGAACTGAATGCAAAATAGCAGCCTTTGAAGTGAAAATGTAGATTTAGGCAATGAGAAAAGAAATTTGTGTCTCAAATGACAGAAATATGTTTCTAAAAGTGGCTTTAAGAGGCTTTCCATTTGGAACTTATAAATATATTTGTTTAGTTTAGCAAAGGTGGGCTGAGAATTTTGCAGTATGTACTAACATTTTAATTTTTGTGGTTTAGGGAAGAAATCTTCTTGTTTATAATGGAATAGTATAGGAAAAGAAGCTTGAGTTATCTACTGGGTAAATGTGTGGCGCTTTCTGGTTGTTTTAGAAAATGAATGACATCATTGCAGAGCTATGCATCTTCTGTGTTTGGATAACTTCATGGTTATTCACATGACACAGACCTTCGCAAACAGAAAACATTGAAAACACCGAGTCTTACCCGACTGGAAAAAAGATCTTGTGTTTTTCCTGATGTTCGTCCAGAAATCCTACTTTTTGTTTCTTTCTGAGACTTTGGAAGGACCAGAAGAGAGAGTAATTGAACTCATTTTCACAAACTCTGTGTGCTACTTAGGCAAACTCTGCAGAGGATCTCTACATTAAAATGCAAGTGATGCAGTCACTGGTGAAGGCAAGGGCAGTGGCAGACGGATGCCGATGTGTTTGCATGGATCTGAGCATTCAAAGCAAGCACACACCGCTGAGACTGTGCAGAGCACTCTTATTATTGCAGCACTGCACATGTTCCCCCCAGCCAACACTTTTTTGTCAGATTTCTGCAGAGCACCAGAACGGAGATCTACTTTTCTTCAGCAGTGAAAAAATAGACCAGTTGGGACCCAAATCCAGTCTGTGCTTTTTTGGTTACGGCTTTCAGTGCTTATTATGGTAGGTGCACTGTGGAATCTGTCATTTCAGTATTCATCCTCAAAATATTTAAACTAAAATTTAAGCTTCCCATGTTGCAGATACAGCTGTCTTTATGGGTATTAAAACCTGCCTGCCTCCACACATCACAGTGTGCTAACAATCTGACTTACGGCTCATCAGTCTGGAAAATAAAAGATATTATTATTGATGAGCCTGTTTATCTATTCACGCCTCATTCCTTTGATCTTTAGGGGGAAGTCTAAAACAGAGGGCATCAATGTGATGTCATGCCAGCTTGCTGACCACACCATTGTTGAATCACCAGGCAAAGTTGTGAAACTTTTATTTAAAACCAAATAAATGAGAAAGATCACTATTGATTAAGGAGGACCTCTGGTCTCTCCAGCCATTTGCAGTTTGCAATGTAAAGAGAACAGCCTCACTCAGTGCGAAGTGCCATCGCATTGCCTGCTGGAGGAAAGATTTAATGTTCTCCCTGCTAGACTCAGGAATATCTGTTGCATTTAAGTTAGGTGGCCATTGCAGATCATGCAGAGTGAACTGACTTAACTGGCTTTAGGGGAGCTGCAGATGTTCAGGTCCCAGCCTCTCCCAGCACAATAATCACTCAGAGGTTGCAGAGCATAAAAGGCCCTCGATATGCACACAAAATGCGGGAGGTAACTGTGACTATTGCTAATGAATGGTAGAAGGATAATTTCCCCTGCTCTATATGTGTGTGAGTGTGTGTAAGTGTGTGTGTGTTTTCCTTCCTCCTTAAAACAAATCACAACAATAAATTTCAACCCAATAACCTTCATAAAAACTCCATGGTGGCTAATTATAAGAGAACTAGGAACATCTACTATTAGCAGAAATAGGATTGTTATTCAATAACCTTGGGAGGTTGCACATCCAACGATGCTCTGAATCCGTAGTTATTAGATGGGGGGTCTAGTGAAGGTTGTTTCAGATTGCTGTTAGCGTCTTGCTGCTGAGCTCTGTATATTCAATGCCACAATGTCAGCAGCTTGAAATTCCCTGTCTGGATTTTATGCAGCTAATAGTCTTCAATTTAGTACTGTTTGTGAAGAAAGAGAATGAGAATGAAGTGGTTTTAAAGTAGGGACATTCTCTGCAGCTCCCTGTCTAGGTGCAGTTCTGACAGTATATTCTCACACGCTGTTCACCTGCAGCAACGAGTCATGTACCAAAAAACCAATTTGCTTAAGCTGCTGTGATGTGTACTGATGCTGATTAACAGAATGCAGACGGTTGAAATTGCCTTTGTATTGTATACATGGCTTTGTTTGAACAAAAGGTAGCAACAAGTAAAGAGGAACTGGTATGGCTGCCAGAAATTTTGACACATCCAGATCTTTGCCTCCTCCCACTCCGTGAAAGCAGGAACACCAGTGGAGTTCAGCATTACTGAAGCAGGAAGGATATGTTTCATTTTCACACTGCATGGATGCTGCTGAGGGAAGAACAAATCAGCAAACAAGAAAGCAGACTAGTCTTTACAGACAGCAGCCTTCAGGGCACTGGTTTAATTCCATTCCAGAAGGTGACAAACAAAGCCACAAAATTAATTTCCAGTCCCAACATCTGTGTTTTTGTAATAAGAGACTTACAATTCCCAGATGATTCTTGGACAAATTACTTTGAAAGGCTGTTTTCACTGGAAAGAGAAGCCAGCCCTGTCCTTCCCTCCACAGAAGTTCTGCTTCACGAGCCATGAGTTGTTTCACCAGTAGTTTCTTTAGAATTTGGTTGTTGGAAAAAGACCAGATAGATTTAGGGAGTGTTATTAGTAGCAAGTGCACCAATTACAACATATATCAACCTCATCAAGAATCAGTACTTAAGGTAGAAAAGCAAGATGAGGGCCAAACACGTTAGAGACCCATTTTCCCAGAGAGTAGAGACCTTTTTTCACATAATAGCAATGTGTTTACCACAGTTTGGGCATAGCACTCTTCTGAGCAGACTGACAGGTATGAAAATGTAGAATCTGCCTTGTCTCATCCATCCAGAAAGGCTTCAGTATGATTTCAGGGAGATTTCTTTAGTTCAGTGCATATTCTCTGACAGTTTTTCCAAATCTACTCCTAAGTTGCTCTGTAGACAGGCAGCCTTGTTTCATTGAAAACTGATCTTCTCAGCTTGCAAGCGGGGGTTAGGACCTGCTTCAGGATTTGCTTCTTTTGCAAACTATTTTCCCTATCTCATCTGTCTTTAGGCAGAATCAGCAATTCAGATCAATTCTTCAGAGATCTTCACACCCAGACTTGCACTCTTTCTTTTTTGTTTGTTTTTAAATTGAACAGTTATACCATCATCATGCATCTAGAAACAAAAGCTGTTTTTTAATAAAATTTTAAGCCTGTTTTAAAATTGTCAAGTTTTTTCACTTTCCTGTTATAAAATTATCTTTCATTTCTCCTTCCTAAATAAACAAAAAACCCTTATATGTAACTGGAGTTGAAAAACTGCTGAATTTTCACATCAGTCCATTTTCACTCAAATCTAACACAGATAATTACAATCATACCATGATGTCAGAAGTAAAGGTAGTGTAATGCCTCCCACTATGGCTCATTAAAGGATATTGTTTATAACATGACTGAACAAATAAAAATATATATTACTAATTGACTTACCTGAAGAACCAAAGCAGCCTGCTTCTGATATGTTGTTATGCTTCAAGCATAACTCTCAGCCCATTTTCAAGCCTGGACTTACTGAGTATCTACACTACTTGGAGGCAAACCCACGTTTGGCAAGGGGAAACGCTTGAGATTCAGAAGATGCTGATACTTGATCCTCTACTTCTAATACAGACCAAAAAAACCCATCCTGCACTGTGAGCAGATGGAAAACTAGGGGTACACAACTGGGATATAAAAAATGATGCTTTTACTTCCTGTATTGAAAAACTGCTGAATTTTCACATCAGTCCATTTTCACTCAAATCTAACACAGATAATTACAATCATACCATGATGTCAGAAGTAAAGGTAGTGTAATGCCTCCCACTATGGCTCATTAAAGGATATTGTTTATAACATGACTGAACAAATAAAAATATATATTACTAATTGACTTACCTGAAGAACCAAAGCAGCCTGCTTCTGATATGTTGTTATGCTTCAAGCATAACTCTCAGCCCATTTTCAAGCCTGGACTTACTGAGTATCTACACTACTTGGAGGCAACCCACGTTTTGGCATGGGGAACGCTTGAGATTCAGAAGATGCTGATACTTGATCCTCTACTTCTAATACAGACCAAAAAAACCCATCCTGCACTGTGAGCAGATGGAAAACTAGGGGTACACAACTGGGATATAAAAAATGATGCTTTTACTTCCTGTATTCACTATAGTTATTGGCACGGGTGCAATCTATTTCACAGTATATTGCAGAATGGAAATTGCAGAATTTTGCAAAACTGTAATAATGTCCCAGCTCTCAAATATTTGGATCTTATATGTAACTTACAAGCTGAATCTAAATTAATGAATGTTTCTGTTTGTGAACAAGTACAATACGAGTTTGAATTCAATGAGATTAATCTGACATTGCAAACTGCACTTGCTGCAGAAATTCAAAGCTATTAGTTTAGTTCTGATGAAATTAGCTTATTTTGAAACCAGTGTGTTACTAGCCTGTTTCTTTCCAGCTGTGCCATGATATTTGGTAATCTTCTGTTTCTTGCATGTGTTGTTCTATAAAATGTTCCAGTCAAGAATTAATCAGTATATTTTAACATCAATAAGACAGCTTTGAAGAATGTATTTAAAATAGTACGCTTTTACTTTATTTCTTATTTCACTTGTATCTGTAGCAGACTTTTGCAGCTGACTGAAATAAGAGCACAATTACAAGATATCTTTGCGATTCTAATTAAACTGTTAATTGGTAACAGTGACTCTTCATACCTGACATTTAGCATCAGTGAATAACAACATAGTAAACAGCAGCAATAAAAATGGCATTATTTTTCCCTTGCAAAACTCTGAAACCAATTTTGCTTTAAATTTTGCAAGCTCATTTGATGTCAGTGTTAAAGCATAATTTGTTCAAAAGTCTCCAGCACTCTGTGGGAGGAGAACTGTGTTCGTAATTAGATATTACTGCAGGTAGAAAGTGCATATCACATACTGCCACACAAACAAACTCTAAATAGGATATGCTGACTAAAGAAAAATACTGAATTTGATAGTTTAGCCATGAAGTTGAATGCCACCCCTGTGACTGCATTCAGAAAGCATGAAAATAACAATGTGCAGCAATGATGTGAAAAAGCAGATAAAGAGTAACAGAGCTAAAATTCAAGAAAACCTCTCTTTACCAAACAAGAATAAATACTGTTTGCTAACATCTCTCTCTCCCTGCTAAACTGAAGGCTGGTGTAAAAAAATATGGGTGTGCTGAATATGCAAAAAATGACAGCATCTAATCCATCCTTGAATCAACTATAGGGCATATGAGAGCTACTCTTACAGAATAATCTCATTGTGTAGTTTGTTTACAGTTGCTGATATCAGTGAAGATTCTTCCAGGATGTGAAAGGAGATCATTTCTTGCAGAAACTTGTTCTATCTATCATTCTTATTTTGGGTTTAAATTGAAAATGCAAATGAATGTCTATTAATATTGTTTATGATAAAACAGAGAATGCAAAACTCTATTTTTGTCACCATTTTACTTTGAGGCAAAACATTATGGTTTGTTTCAAGATGATAAATACAGATATATAACAAGAAAATGGAAAAATAACCCAAAAGAGGAAAATAATATGTTTATAACTGTCCTAATCCCAAACTGCACATTATTACATCTGATCATTTATTATCTGATGAACCAACCTCAGCATGGACAAACTTAGATCTAGCTAGTTCCTTCATTTTGAAAATTATCATGTGTATGTTTATTAAATGTGTCTTATGCTGTAGCCTCATATGATGCTAAAAATTATGAACTGAGATGTTCTGCCAAGCCTATCATCTTCAAAGGAGTAGTTGCTGGAATCCCATCTTGTTGTCCCCTCTCATTTAAATAGTCCTGTTCAAGACCCTGGGATTGCTCAAGTAGCCAACGGTTACTTGAATAAGAAAAAAATGCAGAGTTTTGAGACTATTTATTAATGACATGCATGTTTACCTCATTCAATACAGAGGCATGTTTTACTTTTCTTGACTGATTGCAATGCATTTCCATAACTGAAAAAAACCAATTTGGTTATATTTTCTAGTCAGATAGTTCTCTGCATAAAGCTTACTGAAAGCTTATATTGCATTTAAAGTTCATTTCCACTCTGAATTTGGCAAGCAGCTTTTTGATACAGGAAAATCATATTTAAATTATTCATGCTGAATGACAGATTTTAATTGCACTTTATACTTTTCTTTCGTCTTTTACACTATAGGTGATTTGGAATATTGAGCAAGCATGTTAAATCCCTAACATGCAGCGAGTCTTCATTTAAAAGTTAAATGGTACTGGATTGGAGTATGCCTACTGTTTCCATCAAAGTCTGCTGTCCTATTCTGACAGGGCTTAATCCTGCATGGTAATTCATAGTTATAATTGTGACTGACTGAGTTTGCAGCACTTTCAAACCATGCTTTTCAAGGACAGAGCTGTGATGCTTATTTACATGTTGATATCAACTTACTCACTTGAGTGACTAAGGACTGTTTACACAGGTATGATATTACCAGACTGAATTTGTCTCATTTAACGTATCAAAAATCAAAGACAGATGAAACATTGAACAGAACTGTTTTTCAGCTCCTGTGTAAATCTCCTTAAAATTCTGTTAACAAATTCCCTGATATTTTAAATCTTGCTTTCCCCCTGTTTTATTTTAGGACAGAGAAAGATCTTTTCAGCTATTTTATTCTCAAACAGTAAAAAAAACCATGAAGGTAAATGAAGAAATTAGAATCTCATAGAACAAATGAGATATGCAATGGTCTGAAATACTATAATTTCTTGGGGAGAGAAAAAGAAAGATAAGGAAATGAGGAGGGGTAGCTACTGTTTTACTGATATCACAGAAATCTGCTGTATTAAGAATCAAGTGACCTTAAATGCCACAGGGCCATTAAAAGTAATGGGATGTGATCTCAAGCCAGTGAGTGATGTGAAGCCAATTCCTTCTCAGGGGCTCAAGCTGTAACATCCACATTAATGTATTAGTATCAGTAGATCAAACATAATGAATACTACATCTCATTTACATAATGGATGAGACTAGGGAAGCAGTTCCAGATGGCTGATGAGCACCTTGAGCCAAAAGAGGAAATTTTTTTTTGACATATCAGCATCCACAAGTCTAAAGTGCTGAGATTAGATCAGGCTGATGAGAATATGGACTTTGAGTGATTTGTTGCCCTTAAATTTGAAGAAAGTTAAAATACCCCTCAAGAACAACAGCATTCCATGCAGCTGTGGGACCTCTTCTTCTTATTGTTGTCATTTGCTCATAACTGTCTCAGGTAGTTCAATGGAAATTAGAGGTGTTAACTTCAGGAAAAATCTTATTCTCTGACCATTTCTGCTGAACATGTCTTCAAAGAGTCAACTCACATGTTCAAAGTCAAAGTCGTATTTATGCATTGTACTGGGTTGATACCTTAATGCACATAATGCATGTTGTGTGGAAATGCTGGACTACTCATGAACTCAGTACAACACTGAAACGTTCAAACAGTTTAAAGACAAATGAGAATGCAATGTCCTTTTTTACAACCATAGGCTTGCTTTATAAATTATCTGTCCAAAGCTGGCACAGGTATAAAATGAAATGCATTGGATCGGCTTTATCAGTGCATTGAATTATGTGTTACTGGAAGAAGGACTCTGTTTTGCCACCGAAAGAAGGAACTGATGTCCTTGATGACTTCTTATTCTTGGAGTGAATGAGCTGAAGAAAGGCAAGAAATATTTTCCCTGAGTCATGAAAACTGTAGGTGTTTCAAGAATCCCAGTCAGTCCATAGTTAAGATATTTCTGTGTACCTACTAGTACTGAGAAATCTCAACTGGACTGATTGGTGTGCTTTGCTCACTATGTTAGAATTATGTTATGGTTAAACCCACTTTTATTAAACCAATATTATGTCAGAGTTAGACCCATTTCCAGATTTGCAGTCAGGAAAAAGTCCTGTCTTACCCTTTTCCCTCTCCCTGGTTAGACTAACAATGACATTAGAGAGTTTTTGCCTTATTCTGTAGCAGGCAGTGCAGTCTACTTCCTAGGATAACTGGTAATTTAAGTCAGTGTCTTTGCTGTTTCAGAAGGCTATACCATTAGCAACATTATTTTCTGGGGCACATTATTCTAATTTGTTGCTCTCGTGTATTAAAGGTACTGAGTATATAAGAGTATTTGAAGGAGTGATTTAGTCATTGTAAAGAGGTGGAGGTGTGACAGAGGAGATACACTTAGGGAGCCGTACAGCTTTCACATGGTGGCCTTCAATTCCTGACGCTAATTCAGTGTCTGGAAGAGCCTAGCTAGACTTCTATTTCATAGCTTTTTCTGTCTTAAGTAAATATTGGAACACAAAATATAAAAGAGACTTGGAGATTGTTAATTGAAACATTATAGATTTGAGTGTTTGTGAGTGCACACGCATGTGTGTGTCGCATGTGTATGTGTGTGTGCACACTTTAAATATATATATTTGTAGCAGTAAAGGATGGGAAGGAGTTATGTAGATCATTGGGTAGAA